CTTCAAATCTTCATTATCAGCATTCCTCTATTACACGGTCTTTGGTGTTATTGGCATTAAGGAAGATTGCATAAACTACCAGTTTCATTAAAGCCTCTCATTTTTACGTGTATCAGGGTTCTTAAAGTGCACTGGTTACGCCGTGAACAAAAAATGGATCCCATTCATTTTCAAGGGATTATCATTGTGTTTAATTGAAACTTTTGCCCTCGCGGTTTATTTCGAGGCTCCTGTTTACGCTGCGTTAGATAAGGTCCAGTTTTAAGATAAATAACATTTGTTAAATTATACATAGGTGAGGTTGCCCCTAAGGATAATGACTAAGCGCGGTGTTACAAAGAGCTAATAAATTTTCAGCAAACTGTATGATCGAGCCCCAGTGGTATCATTAACTTTCACTTGGCACTAATCGTTCCCCGTGATCGCAGTTTCCCACGATTACTGTCTTTGCACTTCAATTAGCCAGTCTGTTAGTGTTTTGGCTTGGGAGTTCTATGCTTGTCCGTAGACCTTCCTGGCAGTAAAACGGGCTCTAGTCCTTGTGCTTGAGCAAATTTTTTTCTTTGGCTTTTTGCTGTTGCAATTCAATGCATTTCAGATACCAGGGAACAATTGCCTAGTTTGGATCGATTTCCCACAAATTTAGGTATTTTTTGTGTTTATCAAAACCTTTAACATACCGCATTTCAATAATCAAAATAGGGGCTTTTTGGAATTTTTTCTAAGGCAAATGGCCTCTTGGGTCATCGAGGAATCTAAACACGACAGCAAACTGTGGAGTAAAATGGATATACACAACAATGGTTGATAATTAATATGCCAAAGATCAATTTAGGGTAATGTAGCGCATTCGCTTTTTTATGGTTCCGGAAAGAAATTTTATGTTTAACATTCTGTTTATCTTAATAATGTATTGTAGCATAATGCATAGTAACACCAGGCTTTGTTTTTTGATATTAAATGGCACATAAAATTTATTGCATGTATTGATACCACCGATTGCGCCAAATTCTTTTCTCCAGTAGGCGACAATGGAAATGCAGTGGCTTTCGTAAAATAGTTTGTTCGACCCAATTCCATGAAAAGAGCCAAATAATATAATTTTGTGCACGTTCACCTCCTAACTCAAACGTCCATTATGACGGTACACGAAAGAGATTATCTACTGTAAATCAGCAAATATAGATTCCCACTTTAAAATTCTCTTCAGGGTGGATTGCACCTAAATATACTTCAAGAATAAATTTGCTGGCAAATATGGCCGTTGACATGTGCACCCGGGTTTGAGGGTAGTTTCCAACACGTGTTCAAGGACACGAACTGCGGTTATCTTCCCTTTCTACATTGCGTGATACACGACTGACTAAAGCAGATATGTTTTGCTTGAGTTCAATGGTAAGAAAATCCCATGAAGAAAAACCATCGTAATGTTGCATGTTGGTAGGACGGGTGGTTACTATACAACTTAACACAATTGTTGAATGAAATAGTAAAAAGTCGCTTTGTATAGTTCAAGCGAACCTTCCTTTCGTCAAATTTATATATATTTGCATTTCCGGTGTTGCTTTAAGAATTTTTGATCATCCGTTAAATACCAGTGAACAATTTGTTGGTTTTTTACTATGGCCATCAATGTAGACAATGTATTATGACCTGAAATATATTGCTTCTGGAAGTATTGAATCTTTGCACATTCCTTCTAATGTAGATGGTCGATTCGGCCACGTTCTCAGGCTCACTCAAACGAGAGAATTAAGTGCCCAAAACAGCGAACATGTACAACAAATTTGGCATGCAGTATGCCAAAGGCCAATTCAAGAATCTTCTGTAATACCCCCTTAGGTGTGTTTAAGCCTTGTACGCAACCCACGAATGTCTGTCAAATTTAATCTAAACAGACTTAGTTCATATCGTGACTGATTACTTTACTTCTTTGTCCGCTGCACATTAACAAACTCCTTTTATCGCACCGTACTGGAGCGATTTTATGCTCTATTCTGCTCCGATCTAAGATTACACAAAGAATTTCGCCACTAAGGTATTGTAAAAACTGCTAATATTCTGCGTGTTTGTTTCTATGTTGAGCTTCAACCGAAGGTTTAGCATAAAAATGGTACAATACCACGTGTTTAAAAGAGATATGACTATGCGATCATGATCATATAATTTTTACACAAACCACATACAGTATGGCGAGTGCTGTATGCAACATGCGTAAGTTTGTAAATATTTGATCATTACTCGCATACCGGCGTGAACGCATTTGCGAAAATTTAGAAATACTAATGAGCAACATTAGGCATATTAAGTATTGAAAAGAACTAGAAGAAGTACTAAGTGTTTTTTTTAAGAAAAATAAAAATTTCCCGATAATGCAACGTAAGAAAAGCTATAAATTATAACAATAAATTTAAACTTTTTTGTAAGTTAAAAGCGGAATGTAACAAATTTCTTTATTTGAAATGAACTTTTCTTATGTCAAAATATTTTTAACATACTACTATTAGTGGATAACTATTTATTGAATATCGTCGAATAAAGTCGGGCATCATTTCGATCGTTTTTACTGTCTTCCTTGACAAATTGATAAATTATGCTTCTGTTCGATGTTTACACCAAAACATTTAAAATAGCATATGCCTAATAAGACTTTACCGAAAAAATGACTTTATGGATATTAGTTTTTATGAAGATGCCATGCGGATCATATTTAGAAATGTCCCAAAACAGCCAACCTTACTGTCGAGGAAAAACAACTTCCGCAAAATAACTCGAATATTGTTATTCTTAAGATTTAAACATAATTCGTATAATAGGTTACCTCCTTAAAAAGTGCTTTATTCAGATATTCAGCTGACAAATTGCTATGTATATTAACTATTTCCAAGGTTATGTCGCAATGAAATTAGAGACTTTTGACAATATTTTTAATATACCTAAATATGAACAATTAAATTGGACTGAAAATGGAAGAACTTACTTTTCTCTTTATAATGGACTATTTAACGCAGAAATGGATTACTTCCATGATCTGTTACATGCTTGCAAATGCAAAAAGAGTGGCTGTCTCTTTGGCCATTTTTAAACACTTATGATGCTTCTATCTCTTCCGTTTCTTAAAAACACATAAGCGGAACGCGTAGGTTACGCAAAAGTATATTTTTACCTGCCTTATATTTATTTAGGCCTCTTATACATCACCTTCACGGTAGCATTTCTGGCAAAGTTTGCTAATGCGCTCATAGTTATCGGTGGATTAAAAAAGTATGTCATACAAACTTATTGCTGCACTTAATGAGAGAAAAAATAACAGAATAGCAAAAAAATTTACAATTAAATTGTTGCTTGTTTCTGAAAATAAATGCGATTCTTTAGACTTGGTTTCACTTCCATTTGATCAACTTCGGACAAAATTTTCCGGTTCTGGAAGGGAGCATTTTTCCACCTTTTTAACTTATTCTGCAATTCTTCCGTAGAACATTGCATATTAATAAAACTTCTGGTTCTGTCGTGCCTTATAGCACAAGAAATTTCCTCGATATAAACTTACTTAACATTTAGCCAAAATTAGTGCCTTTTTCGCTTTATTACTTTAAATAAGAGAAAATGTTTCCAAACTAAAGCCTTTCTTCTTCTTTAGTCCACTCAGTTCATCAAAATAACCTGTCCAAATATGTGCTTAAGTACCAAGTTCAATTTTGTCATGAAAGCTGCATGCAGGACTTGCCATACTGTAATTCCGAGAGCTCACATGCACTGCATACTGGCCGAACACTTCCAGTGCCAACATCATGCTTAGTTGGCCTTAAATATGTCGCAAAATTAATACAAAATGGTCCCAATATAAAACAGTTTAAGCATCATGCGCTAATCGCCAAATTATTATAGTTTGAATAAACGGAGAAGGGCAAATGCGTTTTTGGTGACTGCCAACGCGCAATAAATGTCCTGTGATTAGTAGGGCTTTTTTGCAGAATTGCATAATTCATTTGGCCCAATGTGTAAGAAAGTAGCGTCGGTAGGATACGAACCTACACCTAAAAGTGCGGGCTTCGGTACGGAAAAATTCCCACCCAACAAAGCTCATAGGCCCCCGCCGAAGACCGTGAGTTTGGATGGGTAACTTGACGCAATTGCGTCTAAACTCAGGGCTCCCGATGCGAGCCTAGTAATTCAGTCGGCTAGAGATTTTTATTTACTGCAGCCTGCCTCTTGGTAGCCAGCATTAAAATCCGAACGCGGTCGCTAGGTGTTTCAAAATATGTCAAATTAACAGGCTTCTTGTTTTGAAATAGGTACTTTTCGCTTTTCGCTAAACCGTTCCAGATAGGAATAAATGATAGCAAAAACGAAGTTGCCTAATAATAATGTCCAGAAGCCAATTTACACGTCCGTCGGTTGCATATTTTTACTACATGCATATTTTTGCCGAATATGTAACTATTTTGAGCACATTTTTCCCAAAAATTCGTAAGGTCTTAAGCCTCAAACCTCAGTTTGCTTAATCTACTGACAAATAATTCTCAGGTTCTTCATTGTACTTTTTAAAATATATGTTTTGAAATAAAGGATTTTTGAATGACAAGAAGCGTCCTTATTTTTCTAATGCATGCCTGCTTACTAAAACGGCAGGTAACGTATAAATCTTCCCCGAGGTTGAATCAGGATCAGTTGACCTTAACTGGATTTCTTTGCCCTCGCGCCACGTGCCTTCGTCCGTCTTAAATAACCTCCAGAGACCAATCAGATGCGTTTAGGATTATTGCTTTCACCAAGGTGAATGGCCACCATTAACCAATGCTACCAACAGCCCAACGCCTCACAGCCGAGCACCGTAGAACACAATCTGTGCTTTCGGCTGTTGTTTCGGACGTATATTTGCTTGTGCAGTCAAGATGATAAACTCCCCGCAGTTTAGATTTACTTCACCGACCTACAGATATATGAATGAAGGACCATCGATTTGTTTGTCCGATAGGACGCGAACCTACACTTCGACGATGACCACTCCGATGGAACTACGTAACAAATCTGTCACCATCTATGTACCGGTATCAGTTCCGGAGGAGCCCACAAATATGACTGGCGTCGACAATTCGCCGGGTGAAAAGAAGAAGAAGGGCGAGGATGAGGAACACCCACAAATTTTATCAATGAATGTTAATTTTAAAAGCACTATAATGGCTGAAACAAAGCCAAAGGTACGTATCATTTTACCGATAATAAATAGAAAATTGTTGAACCTTTTATTTCGAATTCGGTTTATGCGTAAACAGCTCCTCTATATTCTTTCGCACCATTAGTACAATGGAACTGGATACATAATTTGCGCATGTCTCAGATGTAAGAGTATACCGCTTGGCATTTGAAGTTGGATAAGGTTTTCATAAAGTCAAAGTAAAAAATGCTTCCCGGTTCTGCTCTTCACACACCGGATTCATAAGACGCTATCAACTTTTTATTGTGAAGGGAATTAATCTACTTAATCTGCAAACCACAGTACTGCTAGTTTAAACGCAAATTAACTAGAAATTGCGCAATAATTAGAAACTACCTTTTGGTTAACTATGGAAAAGTAGTATCAAAAACCCAGATACATTTTTGAAGTTGTTCGAGGTAGATTGTTGTGTGACCGCAAGTACCCTCACCTAATTTTCCACACTAAAAAAATCATGATATATCCTTTACTGAGTGAACCGGTTTGGGAATTTGGATGATACATTTACCGGACGAAACCAAAGATTCAGCGCAAAAGGGAGGAAGTGTGCAATTAGGACAACGTAAAACTACGGTTGTTAGAAGTGCTATATTGAAAAGAGTAAAGCCTAAATTTTTACAGTATTCTTTTTCGAATGCACCGAACTCTTTTTAGGTAACTTAGATTTCAAAAAGCTAAAATGAGCGTACTATACGTACTACAAATGCATTAATATACTAACAATACAGTTGTTGAAAACAAGTTATGGATTTAGGAAATCGGATGTTCTATAGTTCGTCTACCTGAAAATGTTAAGGTACACCGTCAGTTTAAAAATTATTAAACTTTCATGACTATTGATCTTTAGGTGACACTTTTCATTACACTGAACAGGTTTGGCTTGAATCACGACTACATATAATGTCGCTTAGAGATCGCAAAGCCTTTTCAAACATTAGGCAAACAACAACTTCCTCTAATTTAGCAGTCGTATAGAAAGCAATCAGTAAAAACTTTCCAATGAACACGAGTTCAGTTAAAGATGAACCCCCTCCGTTTTTTTACTCCTCGGTGATAGAGTTATGGTGTTACTGAAAATATTATCTCACGGTCTGTTGACAACAAAGATGGCTTACCTTTAAAGTGCTTGCTAATGTATAAGGCATGATCGTTATATGTTTGAAAAAAACTCGCAACAGATGTATCACAGTTTGATTCCTTTGATTACTGACCGTCATTTAAACAGTATTTTCTGTCAACGATAATCGCACATTATTAGAATTTGCGCAGCAGTTAGCTTATTTTTAGGATCTTAAACAAAGTCTTTCTATTTTTCTGGCTTCAGAGTCTTGAATTAGCCAGTGTCAGATATAGCGCCTGCCATTAAAAAATCCATAGGATATAGCGAAATTACTAAACGGTACAGTGATCCCACGAGTAAAGAGGAAGCATAAACGCAGCCGCTCATCAGCGTATTTTCAGTTCTTCTCCAATGTCGGGTAGGTTCGAAGACTGTATCTAAAAGCTTTCTCGAAAACATTAGGCGTTGCTTTGAATTAGGTTTCGTAGATATATATTTCACGTTGTTCTAACCCCCGTTTTCTGGACTATTGTTGACAGCCCTAAGTATGTATTTTTACATGCGAGCAAGCGACTTGACAGAATATGTTGATAATTTGCTGCACTCATGACTTCCGGAAAGCATGTTTGTGAATACTCTTTTGTGGCCGAATACTGATAGACAGAATATATTTTCGCTCTGTGAGAGCCGTAAAAAGGTTTTACAAAAGCTTAAATTTCATGCTTGCAGAGTAGACTGTATAAGAAGGCCAAATTCATTCACGTTTAGCACAACTAATTAAGTATTAAAACTTCACCTCTGTCACTGATATTGCAACAGGATTTAACGTTCATAAAGAGGTCTGATTTTAACCTCCGCAGCAAGATGCGAACTCGCAGATTTTCATTATTTCGAAGTAAACGCTGAATGTCTACACTTATTCTACAGAACGGAATGTTTTGACTTAATAAGAAAACGTTCATGCTTGACATTTCGAAGGCATTCAGTACCTTTGGAAATACATCTTATGACTTCAACTATTAACTTATGGGAACAAGTCGTGCGATCATAATATGGTTGATTGTTATAACAGAGATACCAGAGCAATAACCACTGCTAGTATTTCACGATACAACATTTCATTTCGCGAGTAATTTCATAAATAAAATATTTTATACTTCGTGGCATAAAACTCTCATCGTCAGCTCAAACTTAGTTTAAAATACACCAAAATGTTTCAGTGAAATCTAAGCAATAATTTAAGTAGTGCTTAAAAATGTGACCTAGCGACCAAATGTATCTTCGAATGTATGAGCAACGTGTATGCAAATGTTTTAAAAAAGTAGGAATTTATAGAAAAGCCTGCGTAGACAAATGGAATTCTTAATTTATTCGTTTATGGTGCGCTTTAAGCAACCTGCTTATCAAGAAGGATTTTGCTACAAATCAGTCCAATGGCTGTTTGTATAATAACCATATATATATTGATTATAATTGACTTCTCAGTTACCAATAAATGCGGACGTTTGAAGTACGTAATTGAACGTCAAAAGAGAAAGTCGATGACGGCGAACTGCCGCGGTAATTACCGAAATCCGGAATAACTTTATGATGACATACAAATATTGCGTTATAAATCTACGTCCAAGCGTCGCGAGTTTCTTACAAGTTGTGGTATCTTTTGACGTCCTTCACCGAAAGGTTAAAACAACAGTTATCAAATACGATGGCCGCTTTAAGGATTAAAGAGTACCTTGCAGTTTTTTTTAAAAGGCGCCAACTACAAAGCATTGTCCGTCGACTACGCTAGTCCGCCTTTAAATTAAGACGGGTTTTCTGCTTGACGAAAGCAGGTTCTCATCTACCTCTCTGAGTCACATGTAATTTAACAAGCGAAACACAGTCAAACCATTAACCATTAGCATAATCAACTCATCCTTATGGGGGTGAAAATTATAATTAATATGGTTGTGGATTAAACATATGCTGAATATCAGCGACATTCCGACCATTAAGTTGGTTCATATCTGTTAGATTTGTGCACTTGTAACACGCGTCTTCAGCACTCATCTTTTAGACGCTGATTAAGCCTTTAAAAGTCAAATCTGCAGTCTATACCAGGAGTAGTTCTTTATAAATTTGTGCGGATTTGCGCGTCCAAACTAAACGAAATGGATATAATTATTTTTCCTAGGGTCAGCGGTGACGAATTAGTAGGAGATCCGTACTCTTTCAGCCGCAGTTTGTTGTGTCACCGCATATGTGGAGTTCTTCGCTTTTGTGTAATTTAGAAAAATTTTTAAGTACTATATTACGAAAGTTTAAAAAGTACAAGATCAGCAATTGAAATTGTCAGATAGACATGAAGGCAACTACATGTTATTTAATTGATCCAATTATGATTAACTTCATGGTGCTAGGCTTGGCATATGTAGCTCAACCGGTAGAGCCTTGGCTTCGCGTAAAGGCCTTCCGGACTATGCGAGTTCAAATCCCGCCGAATGCCGCGAGTTTTTTAACAAGTGGGTCTACTTAAGACAGATTGTTGTTTAAAATGAAGGGGAACTGGTAAATGTTTTTCAATGAACAAGTTCTTTCGTGTGGTGAGATGGAGCATTTTAATGAGACAGTAGATGTAAGTAGTTAATGCATATTTGGAGCCGTCCCAGAAGTTGTGTTTGTGTATCAGGTGGGTTGTAGCAGAATTCGGTAAATATGTCTTTCTATCTATTGTCTTCAAGGGATAATTATCGAAAGTGACTAAAATATTATTTAGGTAAACCTAAGCCCGATTGAGTCTATATATCTCTGGTAAATTATGATTTATTCTTATCGACTGCGCAAAGCCTTTGAAGTAAATCCTAGGCTAAATTTTACAGAACTTTCCACCCATAATTCGCGCTTTTGGTTAAAAACGGTGCATACGTTTTCCCATCCGCATACGCCGAGGGCTTTTACGCGCTATTGGTAAATGCTTAGTCCACTTTGGACACTTGGGAGGATTTTATTAAGCCTCACTTTATATATATCTTTAAAATAAAATCCATTTCCAATCAAAATCTAAAAGAGTGTACCACTTATCTTCAGCGTTCTCAGAAACGTATGCGATTCAGCCTTCCAGAATTTAAAACAGACTCGCTTTTGATCATCGTTAGTAACATAAGCAAGGTATCCTTTTTAAGGAGCGATTTTCCAACAACAACATACAGTATTGCGAGTCCTGCAAGCAAATTGCCTAAGTTTGCAAATGTTTGATTATTTCTCCCATACCGGCGAGAACGCATTTACAAAAACTTATAAATAATACTAAATAGTATTAGGCATATTAAGTACTCAAAAGAACTATAAGAATTACTATGTGTTTGTTAAGAAAAATAAGATTTCAGCGATAATCCCCAGATTCGGCCGACGTAAAAAATAGATATAAATTTTAACAATAAATTTAAATATTTTGTTAAGTATAAAACTTAAAGCAACCACTTTC